GTCATAGGAACTTGATGCAATGATTATTGCTTACTTTGAAAGATAATAAAATTCTTCTATTTTTCATTACTTGCCTCTTTGTCTTGAAACTGCATACTTAATTTATTTCATCCTCAATCAAGTTAATGAGAGAACAAAATAATCTTCTTTCAAGAACATGACTGAACTTAGAAATTTATCCAAGCTGCCTACGTACCTTTTAAAAGGATCAAGTCATAACGTAGTTCAAAATAACATGAATTTGTTTATGGGGGAATGTCGTGCACAGTTTATACTCATGCGGGCCAGGAGTGACTATTCTTTAACTACTTTAGACAAAGAAGAGTATTAGTTTAACCACATAACACTTTAGTGGGAGAATTAACAGTTTAACCACATATATTCGCATTGGTGGAGAATTTAGCAGTTTAATCACATGCAAAGCTTTTTGGTGATTACCGTTCACAGTTTATAATCGTGCAGGTCAGGAGATTTTTTTTTACCTTTTTTTTATTCTCTTTTTTTTTGGATTTATTTTTTATTTTTTTTTATTTTTTTTAAGGAAAGGTACATGCAGGTACATCACGCATAATAGCGTTTCAAAAACTTCCCGTTGATAGGAACAACTACCAAACCATCTTCGGCTACCACCTTGTAGGTGCCATTGGTATAGACATCCCTCACAACATATGGACCATCCCACTTTGACGTGAACTTATTCCCAACACGATGTGTCATCACAATCGGTCTTCTCACAGCAAGAACCAAATCACCCACTTGAAAGGAGCGCGATCGAACTTTCTTGTTAAAAGCCTTAGAAAGACGTGCTTGGTAACATTCCAGTCGTTGTTGAGCTTCCAGTCTTTTCTCATCGAGAGCCTCCAACTCCTCAAGGCGAAGGCGCGCATTTTCTTCTTCTGTCAATCCTTCTTGCAATGCTATCCTCAATGATGGAATTTGCTGCTCGAGGAGAACAACTGCTTCTACGCCATAGACAAGTGAATAAGGAGTGGCTTGAGTCGGCGTCCTAAAAGTGGTTCGGTATGCCCACAAGGCTTCTCCAACCCTCTCATGCCAATCTCGTTTTGATTTCGCAACTACTTTTTTCAACAAATTGCACAAAGTTTTATTGAATGCTTCAGCAAGTCCATTAGCCGCGACATTATACATAGAGGACTTTCGTTGCTTGAAACCAAATTTTTCACAAAGCTTGTCAATATGGCTGTTTGAAAACGGCTTTTCATTATCCGTTATTATATATCGAGGGATCCCATATCGATAGATAATATTAAGGCGGATGAAATCAGTGACATTTTCTTTCTTCACTTCTTTGAGAGGCACTGCTTCAGCCCACTTAGAGAAATAATCCGTTGTAGCCAAAATATATAGGTGACCACCAGAAGACTTTGTCCTAGGTCCAACCACATCAAGACCCCACGCATCAAATGGCAATGAAGCAACAGTGGGATGTAACGGCTCGGGTGATTGGTGAATGAAGTTTGCATGAAATTGACATGGCTAACATCTTTGGGCATAGTCCATACAATCTTTAACCATCGTCGGCCAATAGTACCCCATTCTCTTGATCCGAAAATGTAGCTTCGGGCCTGATTGATGAGCACCACAAATTCCAGAATGAGCTTCCTCCATAGCTTGAATCGCTTCATCATCTCCCAAACATCTCAAAAAGACTCCATCAAAGGATCGCCGATAGAGAGTGCTTTTGTAATAGATAAAGCGAGGTGCTCGCTGCCGCACATCAACTCTCTTTCGCAGATCGTCAGGTAACTTCTCATACTTCAAGTTGTCAACAAGAGGCTGACGCAAATCTTCCTTTTCAATCTCAAAAACTTCAACGGCGTGGTTTTCATCTTTCTCATCATCTTCTTCATTATCAAAGATTGGTGGCACTACCCAATTCCTATAGACAGGAACATGAGCCTTATCTTCAGGCAAGGTGAGCGACGAAGCAATCTTTGTGAGTGCATCGGCTTGCTTGTTATCTTTTCTCGGTACATGATCAATGGTCACATCTTCAAGCCATCCTATAAGTCTCTTGGCGTAGTTCACATATGGAAGCAACTCAGGTTTCTTCACCTCGTACTCTCCAAGTAATTGATTAACCACAAGTTTAGAGTCTCGATATACATTCAAACGCAATTGCTTCATATCAACTGCCATCTCTAACCCAAGTATAAGAGCTTGATACTCGACGACATTATTTGAGCAATTCTCGATCAAAGTAAACGAGTAAGGTAAAACTTCTCCATGACATGTCACAAATACGACTTCAGCACCGGCCCCTTCTCGATGGGCTGCTCCATCAAAATACATCTTCCATGACGGAGTTACTTCAACGACCAACACATCTTCGTCGGGTAACTCATCAGAAAGTTCCCATTCAGTAGGGATTGGGTGATCAGCCAAGAAGTCCGCTAATATTTGACCTTTTACAGCCTTTTGAGGGACATAGATGATCTCAAATTGCTGCAATTGAAGGTACCACCTTGCAAGTCTATCCGAAAGTACCAGCCTCCTTATAACATACTTAAGCGGGTTGGCTTTTGATACTAGACGAACTGTATGGGCTTGAAAGTAATGCTTTAACTTTTGGATTGCAAAGATTAACGCAATACATATCTTCTCGATGGGTGAGTAGTTCAATTCGTTTCGCGTCATCATTCTACTAAGGTAATATAAAGCACTTTCTTTTCCATCATCGTTCTCTTGAGCCAACAAAGCCCCAACGGAACGTTCTTGAACGGCTATGTAAAGAATCAACGGACGATCGGGCACAGGGGCAGCCAGCACGGGAGGCTTCGTCAAATACGCCTTTATGCTTTCAAAAGCATTCTTGCAAGACTTATCCCATTCAAATGGAACACCTTTCTTCATAAGACGGCTGAACGGTTGACAACGGCCGACTAAATTCGATATGAATCTTCGAAGGTACGCCAGTTTTCCTTGTAAGCTTTTGAGTTCATGAATATCACGAGGTTCGGGGATTCTCAATATCGCATCAATCTTCGCTTGCTAGATCTCTGTCCCTCGATGACGGACAATGAACCCAAGAAATTTTCCAGACTTGACGCCAAACGCACACTTGAGTGGATTCATCTTGAGTTGATATCTCCTTAACCGTTCGAAAACCCTTTTCAAATCTTCAAGGTGATCTTCTCGCTTTCTTGACTTCACAACCACATCATCAACATAACATTCAATGCTTTTGTGAAGCATATCATCAAAAATCCTTTGCATAGCCCGTTGATATGTGGCCCCAATGCTTTTCAAACCAAATGGCATCACCTTGTAACAGTATATCCCTTTTGGCGTACGAAATGCGGTCAATTCTTCGTCTCTAGGCGACATGTGTATTTTGTTGTACCCGGACGACCCATCCATGAAAGACAACGCCTCGTGGCCCGTAGTTGCATCAATCATGAGTTCAGTAATGGACAATGGAAAATCGTCTTTTGGGCATGCTTCATTTAAATCTCGAAAGTCGATGCAAACTCTAACTTGACCATTCTTCTTTCTCACAGGAACAATGCTTGAGATCCATGTTGGATACTTGACTTCTTGAATGAATCCGACCTCGATGAGCTTGTTTACTTCAACTTCAATCAATGGAACTAAATCGGGCCGAAATCGTCGTTGAGCTTGCTTAACAGGTCGTGCCCCCTTTCTCACGGACAAATTGTGCACTGCCACTTTCGGATCTAACCCAGGAATTTCTTTGTATGACCAAGCGAACACATCTTTATATTCACGAAGCAGCTCGATATAAGCCTCCTCCTCATCACTAGTCAAAAGGGTGCTGATATAAGTTGGCCGAGGATTTTCCATGTCTCCTAAGTTGATCTCTTTTAGCTCATCAACCGTAGCCTCAAATCCTTCTTCAAGCTCAGCAGGGGCATCCTCGGCATCTTCTTCATTTTCTTGGGCATCTTCACATATGGTGATATGGTTTACATATGCAACATCTTCAGCAGGGCTATCAAGACTCTCGTAATCAATGCATGTTCTAACTCGTCCGTCCCTTCTTACGACACGAGGTAAATGCAAAGTGGTATTGCTTTTATTAATGAACCCTTTCCTCACCAATGCAACGATTGTTCGATGCAAGGAGCTTCTGATGTTTTGAGGATTTGCTCTTGGGGCAACAGTACACACTTGATTAGTCGAAGCGACGCTTTCTCCATCACTTTCTTCTTCACCCTTTACTCTCGTGTGCACAATTGTTTGCATCTTCATCTGTAAGACATTACCACATGAAACAATCAATGTGGTATGTCTCTTCATTCGTGACGGTATCAAGTTTCGAAGCTCGTGGAACTTTCTCTCTATCTTCCCGTATCTTACCATTCTTCGAATACCAAGTCTTTGATGGCTAGTTCTTTTGGACTCTAACTCTTGAATTGGTCCGAGCCGTTCAAATACTGATCTTCTTTCTCTATGCTTCAAATGATCAGTGGATGAAAATCCTTCTTCAGACACATGATTAGAATTGACTCGTTTTATGGCGATCCGAACTGGATTCGGTGCCGCAAATCCGAGACCAACTCTAGTTTTTGCCACTCCAGAATCCCTTTTTTAAGTTTTTGCTGCTTGCGGAATAAGTGTTCCCAAAGTACTCACTTCTTTTGGATCGTATCCAGATTTGACAAGAAGTTTATATGCTTTTGGGTCGTAATACTTAGAGTTTTGAAGCTCCCCTCCGTGCTCCGTCTTAGCTCCTTCAATTGGGCAGACAAACTTTCCCAGGGGTTGCGTGGTTGGTTTCTTGGCAGCGAGACTAGGCAACGGCAACACCAGCCCATCAAGAGGGTCGTTCCCAGCAAGATTCTTGGCTTTCTTCTCTTTGGCTCTATTTTGTTGTTTGATGGGAATGTATTTAGTGCCAACAGCCTTAACCTCTTCAAAATAATACTTAGCATCAGCAAAATAAGACTCGGCTTCAGTAAAAGGCTTATCGTCTCCAAGAACCTTCCTTACTACGCCATCTTAGCAGTATTTAAAACATTGATGCCAGGTAGAAGGCACAACTCCATATTCATGCAACCAAGGACGTCCCAACAACATGTTATAAGAGGTTTTGGCATCTATCACATGGAAAAGAGCATTTGAAGTCATCTCTCTGATTACTAACTTCAATCTAATTATGCCTAGAGCTCGTTGCCCCCCTTGGTTAAAGCCTTGAATCATCAACCGACTATTTGAGAGTTCATCTGTCGGGACCTCCAGCTCTTTTAGAGTACGCAGAGAAAAAATGTTCATAGCAGAACCTCCATCTATCAATATGCGATTCACCTTTTTCTCGCGAGTGTAACCAGTTACGAATAAAGGCCTATTATGGGGTTTTGAGCCCAACATCAAGTCTTCATCTGTAAAAGTGACTGATGCATTATTGTCTTCAGGGTCGCATCGTTCTTTGTCATCAGTCGACTCCTCATCATTTGGGACATCATCTTGCTCGCTCGTCACATTACAAGCGAAACTTTCATATCCTTCCTCGCAGGTCACAATTGAAGCAAAGTTTGCAGTCCCTTTGTCTTCTTCAAGCGATATCTTGCCTTGTTGTGCCAGCTGCATAACTCTATCTTTGAAGACAAAGCAATCTTCGATGGAGTGACTCACCAGACAATGATACCTGCAGTATTTTGGGTTGTCAACTTGTCCTGCTTCTTCAGGTCGTTTCATCTCTGGCAGTTCAATAAGTTGTTCCCGAATCAAGTCGTCAAAAATTCCAGAAACATCAGAGTCAAGAAAAGGATATTGTTTGGCTTGCATCTCCTTCAGAGTTAACTTTCTTTGCCCCCTTTCTTAAGGAATTTCTTTCTTTTCCACAGCTTTTTCGCTTGTGTTTCCCTTGAGTTTGATGGGTCTTGCATTGACCGACATTGCTTCCTTTACCTCTTTGTTAGGTGCTCTAGAGGAAAACTTGCCCCCTTTCTTGGCTTCATTTCAGTCTTTGAATCTTTGAGGCTCATGGACAGGTGGATTCTTGACCCCACTTGCATTCATGCTTAACTCCATATCATGTGCGCGAGTGGCCAACTCTTCAAACGACCTTGGTTGAATCCTTTGCAAAATGTATCGGAGACCTCAGTGCATCCCTTGAGTGCAAATTTCAATAGCTGAAGCTTCAGACAATCGATCTTTGCAATTGAGGCTTAGATTTCTCCATCGGTTGATGTAGTCAATAACAGGCTCTTCATCCCACTGCTTTGTATGAGTGAGCTCAATCATGCTGACCGTCCTTCGTGCGCTGTAGAAACGATTGAGAAACTCTTGCTCTAGTTGCTCCCAGCTATCAATAGAATTTGCCTCCAAGTTGGTGTACCACTCGAACGCATTTCCCTTTAATGATCGAACAAACTGCTTCACCAGACGATCGCCATATGTTCCAGCATCATTGCAAGTCTCAATGAAGTGAGCTACGTGCTGTTTCGGGCTACCTTTACCATCGAACGGTTGGAATTTCGGTGGTTGATATCCAATAGACATCTTTAAGCTATCAATCCTTTGGGTGTATGGCTTCGAATAAGTCAAAGATGACTTAGAGACTCCATCAAACTTGTCCTTGATGGTTCCCATGATGAATTCTTTGAGTTGGTCAGTTGGTATGAGTCCACTTGCAGAAACATGGATCTCTGAAGAAGACTTCTCTTTTTCAGTTTGTCTCACCTCATCTTCTTTAGAAGTTTCTTCATCCTCATGTCTTTCGTCCTGCTTGCCCTCAGCACGGCTAGTCTCAGCTTTGTCGACCCTTTCTAGCAACTTTAAGATTGTGGAGTCTTGATTTTAGACATGTTTCATCAGCGACTCCATTGTTTTTGCCATGGTTGCAAGTTGCTCTTCAATGGTTGATGCGTTCGTCATCATAACATGTTCTTCTATTGAGAAAGGTGTCGATGAAGCATCGTCTCTCAAATCTTCCTCTTGGTTCATCAAAGGTGGCCGATTTTCCTTAACTTGGTGAGAATTTCCTTCCAGAGATACACTCTTGTTTTTCGCCATGCTTCTTGTTACGACACCAACACTTTCACTTGCATAACTTGAAGAAGTTGACTTGGGAGGAGTCATCGTTGCACTTATATATCTTGAAGAAAAGAGATGAGAGGTAGAGATGGTCCCACCGGGCGTGCCAGAAATTTGTAACGCAAAATTTCATATTACTGAATTAATAAACACGAGAAATTCGTACAAATGATTTTCAACGGATCAAATGAAAAGAGTAGATTACAAATCTCTATTATTCCTCTATTAATTTCTTCAAGAACGATCTTCAAATGAATATGAGACTTTTGGAGATGAATCTTCAGTTTGATCTCCGCCGGTCTTGAATTTGGATTTGAATAACGTTTCTTCGAGGGCTTGATAGCTTGATCTCGAATCGAACATTGAGATTTCCCAAGAACGTGAAGAACACGAATCCTTGGTCTTCGCCGCAAAGTTGATTTTGATCTTCTTTACGCCAGTTTTGACTTTAATAACGTAATTCGGAGGCTTGACAGCTTGTTTCCGGATTGAACGTCAGTTTCGGGCTTGAACGCGCTTGAATCTTCCTTCGAATCTTCAAGAACGCTTTTGAATCTTCAAAACACTTTGACTTCAATAACGCAATTCAGAGGCTTGGCAGCTTGATTCCGAATTGAACGTCAGTTTTGGGCTTGAATGCGCTTGAATCTTCTTTTGGATCTTCAAGAACGCCTTTGGATCTTCAAGAACACTTGAATTTCGTTGAGAGAATTCTCTAGAGCTCTTGAACTTGAACATGACTTGTGGGCTTGAATATGAATTGTGATTTTTCACCTTAGGGACAACCCCTATTTATAGGTGTTGGGAGAGAGAGTCTTGGAAAAAAAGACTTTAATTTGATTGGTCCATAATTTTCAATATTTATCTCCTAATAATTATTTAAAGAGATAATTAGGAGAGAGAGTCTTGAAAAGGAAGACTTCAATCTGATTGGTCCATGAATTTCCGCTTATTTATCTCTTTAGTAATTATGAAAAGAAATAATTATTTATTTTATTCTCCCAAAATGACATGTGACATTCTTTAATTGGCCTTCAAAATATACACGTGACATTCTTTAATTGGCCAACAATATATATTAAATAATTAATTAATTAACTATTAAATTTAAGAATTAAAATTTGATTAATTTCCCAAATGAAGTAGAAAATTATATAATTGACTATGACATGGAATTTGACACTTGTCGCCATTTAAGTGGTTCAAAATT